GTCAGTCTCACCGACCCCAGGTTTCGCTGCAGCAGTCAGCTGCATGCAGTCGGCTCTGTACCATACCAGCTCAGTGCACTTCTATTCAGACTGCTGCTCCTCATCCCCTCCTTTCTCTCCGACACCACGGCTACCAGTCTCTATGGCAACAGCTGGCAGCTACAAGAGAGAAAGCTACAACAGCTGCCTAAAAAAAAAAGACAACTGAGACAGCCTAAAGCCTCTGGCCTGAGAAGGACTGTGACTTGTATCATCCTCTACCAGGACAGGCAAGGAATGAAAGACGGGAAGCGAATGAAAAGCAGGCCATGTAACCGACCATCGCTGTGCAGGGGAAACAAAACCGGTGTCACGCAACATGATGGGTGCCTGTCAGCCCTCACGGGAAAGTTGCCCAAAATAGCACCAGTGATGTTGGGGAAAGGGAGTCTCATGTACCTCCTTCTGAATCCTTTCCTTCTCCAAGATTAAATAAACATGCTCTGACTAAGTTAGAGCTAATGCCAAGATTGCTTGCAACACTCTCCAGTCTGAGGTGAAGGCAAATTTGGCCAGAGCTCAGAAAAGGAAGGCTTGTCTCCTGTTACTTTTTTTTTTCAGCTACAAAAGCTCCATAGTTGCATTTACAGCTGTCAAAACTAGACTGAGCTTCTTCCAATAACATATGCCATCCATTGTACCCATTCTACAGTCTCTACCACAAAATGATTTAGCGTTGGCTGATGTAAATGTAATGGATTTATTTTAAAGGAAAAAATGATTTTTGGCTGCCCATTAAATGTCACAGAGGAAATTCATGGCATGTAGGAAAACAACTGTGTACAGCACTGTTGAGCCAAGGCTGTCTAACAGATGTTGTGCTCATTATAGTCGAAGCATAATAACATGTTTTAATGAGCAGAAAACAGGAAAATCCTATCTCCCTGTGGCAATAATGTGGAGGCATTATTGCTATTAAAAGGGGACCTGTCTCTTCCTTCTGACTCCTGTCATTTGCTTAGGCTGCAGTCTGTAATATTTCCACAGGGCTCTGATCCTGTACACATGTAGAAGGCCACAGCATTAGGAAAACATTTATTACCAGATGATTCCTCCTGTTTCCAGAACCAAAGTCATTTTTAACATTTTTGGGTGTGCCATTCTAGAAGGCAGGAAAGAAATGTTTCAGGGAAGTGAGAAATCCCAACCCTGACTCTTGTGCCATATCACTATGAACCCCCGCTTCCATTTCCAGATGTTAGGTTTAGCCAGGGAAGGAAGAACAGTACAGTGACTTTGGTGCCAGCCTGAAACGTAGGAGAAAGCAGTTCCACTTCCAGCTCCTTGCTGGAACCATAAAAGAAAGTTATTTAGTATCTCTCTCCCTTTCATAAAACAGGTAGAAGGTATTCCTTTACCTCACCAAGTATCCCTGGAAAGGGCGTGTAGCTACACTTACGTATTCTGATTAGATGGAGTTTTAGAGCTGTGCGGGAACTGATGCTCACGTTTGAGTTATCCTTGGTTTCAGGACAGAGGTGCCTAACTCTTCCATAATAGCCATGTCTTTTTCATCTGAAATAGGATGCGCAAATGAGATTTCTAATACATTGCAATAAGAGGTTGGAGACTTTACTACTTGCAGCAGGAACAATCTCCCTAACTGACATTTAGTACCCAAATCTCTTAATTGAGTGCAGTCATTACAAGGAATTAAACGCAAACAGAGTGTTTCATAAAGGACAGCTGTTCTTCATTTTTTAATTGTGTTGGTAAAAAAGACAAGAAGAAAAAAAAGAGGAACACAGGCTTATGAAAGCTCCCATAGGATCACTGGAGAACTCGGGAGGGAAGAGGCCCAGGACATCTCTGGTCCAACCTCCTGCTCAAAGCAGGGTCAGCTGTGAGCTCAGACCACACGCTGCTCAGGGTTTTACCCAGCTGGGGCTTGAAAACCTCCAAGAATGGAGACCGCACGACCTCTCTGGACAACCTGTGACGGTGCCTGAGGGTCCAGTGAAACAGTTTGTCCTTAAATCCAGCCTGAACCTCTCTCATTTCGACTTGTGCCTGTTGTCCCTTGCCCCTCCACCCGCCACGGTGCTCCACTGCACGGGGCCGGCTCCATCCTGGCAGTGACCCCTCGTAGGCGCTGGGGCCGCTTTAGGGGCCCCGGCGGCCGCCTCGTCCCCCCGTGGGGCGAGCCCCGCTCCCCCGGC